TTTGTGCTGCTATTTTCTGCTCATCTATTGAAAGGAGCAGTTAATATTTATTTTTTATGTTCTTTTTGTTTTTAATTTCTTATAACTTCTTTACCAATTTTGCATGCTTATATCTGGTGATCTAAGCAACTAATTTGAAGACAACTTATAAACTATAACAACCATTGTTGAATTCCTATTATTTTGTTTAGTGAAATTCTGTAGTTTTTCTAGTGTTTCTTTCTTGTGATTTTTTTCATTCTCTTAAAAAAAGACAGTGAAATAGTGGCACGAAAGAATAGCAGGTAATGTACCCTAACTAAGAAGACAACCACTACTCAATTTGAGGAGATACCAATATCAAGGCTGGAAAGTAATAGGAGAGGAAGTAAACTCAGGTTGCATAAAAATCATCTAAACTATGACCTGAGTCTTTGCTCGCAGTATAAATTAATGTCCTGTTCATTTCCCGAGAAAAGTATCTCAAGGTGTACAGTCCATGGTAGTAGTCCTTTCATAGAAGTAGATCTATTCGACTTTTTAAAACTCCTTGTCCTTTTCATTTCTACTTTTTACTGTGTTCTCAGTGTTATGCTTATTGAACAAAAAGTCCCAATGTATACAAAACATCACTGATATTTGCAATTGTGAATGAGGTATACTCATGTAAAGGTAAATATTTCAAAAAGTTTGTAAATTTTCTGTATTCCAAATTAAATCCTTGGCATTTTTAAAAATATCCCAGTAAATAAGAAGAGTTGTGAAGAATAACCACATGCCTCAAATCACAAAATAAACAGTAGAAACTTGATTGTCTAACAAACTTTCAACGAACTTAAAATTACTGAAAATTTTAATACAGGGATTTAAGCCCACTTGTGACCTCTGATTGAAAGCTTGCTGTAAAATATTGGCATATTCTGTCTCACCAATTCAAGGCAGTGGTATTTTCCAGAAGGGTACCACACATCATGACTTTACTCAGCTTGGTGTACAAGTTAGTGATTTAAAAAAACCATCACTATTGGAAATACTGCTGTGATTTTGTTGATAGCAAATTATATTAGAAGAAAAACTATTGCTCTAAATTTCTTACTTACATTTTCAGTCAGCCACATCTATATACTGTGCATTAGATTTGGCTAATTTCTCCATGCTTCACCTGAATAATTAAGCAAACGTTTTTGAATCATCAAAATCTGAAGCGTATACCTTAATTCAAGAGAATTGAGATCTCCAGCTTATTCCCAAAAGATATTATTATATTATGGTTAAAGGCATATATTTGCAACTTGAGTGTTTTTTCACTATGTACTTGATTTAAATAAGGGTTGTTACTTGTTTGGAAAGAAGGTATATTGTGCAGCTGCTTGAATTCTACACAAGCAAATTAGATGAAGTTTACTGATTCCACTCTTTCAGTTCTACATATCCTTAGAGCATTTTTATTTCTCAGCTTTTAAAAGATACATGATAATGTCTCTCAAGATGATTTTGAACTTTTCCACTAATCCTATTTATTTTTTATTAGATCTATTTTCTATTAGATCTATTAGATCTTCACAATCTAATTAGATTTTGAAGCCACATCAATAGATGCACACAGAGAAGGATTTTTTTTATCTTTCTTAGATTGAAATTAAATATACGTGTGAAAATTTCACTTGCTTGGATCTTAATAACCACAGCATCCAGTGACTTTGAATACTGCTAGCTTCTCTACCTCAGTATGTTTGGAGCATTTGTGATAGCTGACTTTCCTATGTCTGTAATTCCTCTTTAAAAGACAGCGTTCTCGGTTATGTAAAACTTCACTGGTCCATCTTGGTATTTTCTGGCTCAGTGTAAATCAGTAGAAGTATTCTCTGACATCAATTTCATTACCTTATATCTGGGTTTTTATTATTAATTTTAGAAAGATCGTCATTTGCTTCTGCCTCTTCAAACAGTCCACAGCTTTTCCACAGAAGAGATCAAATTTCTTTCCTGGTCTCAGTACACGCATTTCAAGGGAATGCAGTAGTTTATAGGAAAGATGAGTCAGTTGTGCCCACTTCACCAATCCAGGGTGACTTAAAAATTGTAGGTCCATAAAAGATTGATTCTCCTAATCTCACTTTACCAAGAAGAATAGAAATTTTTTTCAGTATGACTGATCCATCACAACAAAACCATATGGTTAAGTCCCAAGGACCACATATGTCACAGAAGTGTGCTGCGTCGGATTTCCTATGTTGGTGGAGATCAGAAAACTAAAATAAAAGTAACAAAAACACTGATTGTTTCTCTGATTGGTGATGAGTCTACTTTGTCAGGTAATGTCTCCCATACTTATGAAAAAGAGGCAAGAAAAACAGTTCTGGGGTTTTTTTTTTCCTGTATTTCTTTTATTTTGTTTCAGTAGTCCTTAGAGAGGTACAGTATGATAAATACTGTATTATAAAATATGAAAACACACAAAATTTCATTCAATTCTATTTCATATATTTTGTGTGTATTTTAATTGGTACTTACTTTAGAAAATCTAAGTTTAGCAGTGGGTACAGAATGAACATCCTCACTTTGACCTTCAATTTAGTTGAAATCCTTTTGCTGTTTTAAGCAGAACATACGATGATATCTGAATGATTACCATAAAATGTCTACATTATGTTCCCATTCTATAGATTCAGTTGAAGTCCAGCCCCAAATCTTAAATGTAATTTTACAGGAACAGAAACCAATGATTGTGCAATTTATATGGAAGCACAAAAAGGCCCCAAAGGTCAAGTACCCTGAACGAGTGGGTGGATGAGTGGATAGAAAACAGTTGTTACCTAATGGAATAAAGTATCTCTTAGGCTTTAAAATGTAGGAAATATTGAAATATCCAACATCATGAATTAACATGGTAAATATTACTTGGAGTGAATTTAGGAAATCACAGAGCTCAATGCTACATGATCACAATTTGATGGGTAATCTAATAGTTAAATACATAAAATCAAAGAAGAGAATCATGGTGGTCAGGGATGGAAAGAGAGTGATTTTCTAAGCAATTGATATAAAATTTCAGACATGAATCTTTTAGTTCTCATGAAAAACGTGCTCATAAAAACAATATTGTGTTTTACACATAAATGTGTGTAAAGAACTTGTCTTATGTCAATTGTTCTCACCATAATTGGAAGAAAATAACATTCCAGACATTCAACACATATACTTTTAGTTTGTATCACACTGCACCCAACAAAAATTTAACAAAGGAAAATTATTTTCATGCAAGTTGTAGATCCATTAACTTAGAGTCTAAATTTATCATTGTACAATGTTGAATTACTATTAATTTAATATTGGCTACAAATTTTACATCAAATTATATTTTAATTCAAAATTCCTGTTAATTATGATGTTATTTTTAATTATGCTATAACAAAATGCTTCAATAAATTTGTTTTTAACTTTCCAGTACAGTAGTTAAAATATGATTATTGTGCTTTTTGATATGTATTTCTAAATGCTTATAATAAAACTTTCAATAAACATTATCAGGAAATTTTTTCATAGGGTTTCATATTTATGAATATAACACAATGATGGTGGATTTTATAGTTCACTAATTTTAAAATAACCTATTTTTGTAGGTGTTCATTTTCTACCTTTTTTTGTGTAGTTCCAAGTTTGCAAATTTTCTTATCATGCTCTGTGGAGGGAGATCCTTGATAATTCAATTTTTGTTCAGTATAATACTAGAAATTTCATTTTGTATTTCTGTTACATGTGAAATGTTAATAAAATATTTTAATTCAGGAATATAAAATATTCTTAACATACTCAATGTATCTTTAAATTTACATGAATCTGACATTCTTTACCTACATATTAAACTAATATTTTAAGTCTAAACGAATCCATTTCATTCATTCACTAGTATAATATTCACTTGACTAGAACTAGATATACACCATCTTTTTCTTTCATGGTTTTCATGATATGAATGTTGCCAGTGTTGAACTTGTTTAATGTGGTATTCTTTACAGAGCACTATCAATTGTATGTTCCTGAGTCAGCTCAAGTTGGTTCTGCGGTTGGGAAAATCAAGGCAAACGATGCGGACACCGGCTCAAATGCTGACATGACTTATTCCATCATAAATGGGGACGGCATTGGGATATTTTCCATCTCCACTGACAAAGACACCAGGGAAGGGATCCTTTCCTTAAAGAAGGTAAAAAGAACATTGTTTTCTTGACTCAACTAACTCACCAATCTTAGCAGGAATGAAAACTCTGCAGAAATATAAATACCCCATGTTGTCACACCTATAAAATTTTGAAATATATTCTCTTTAAATGTACACTTTACTACAGTTATATCTCAGTCTCATAGCCTCTGTCAGGAAATGGGATTTGCTAAGCCTAGAAGACTTGAGCTTTAATATACTGGGAATATGATTCTCTTGTACATTATCAGTCAGAGAAAGACAGGAGGGGAAGATAGCTTCAGAGGCCTCACTGAGCTCTATCTCAAGTGAGCCTGGAGCCACTGAAACTTCTCACATTTATTGAGGGCTACAAACAGGCTAAGGAACGTGCATAGCTAATGTGATATAAGGAGGCCGCATTCACCAAACTCCTAAGTTTACTGTCTCTAGTTGGTGACTTCCCAGGTGAAGGAACAAAGGACAGACAGGGCGCAGCCTCCAGAATCTGTCACCTTGTCCCCAGCTTGCGGGAATCACAAGGGGCAGCTTCCTCAGGCTCTGTTCTTTGTTCTTTGCTCTCTCCCTCAGGACAGTCAGCTTCTGACTCTTAGCACTAGCTGTTTCTCCTCCTGTTTGCTTGTACTTGGTCACTACCCAAATCTTCCTGCAGTGTCCAGATGCACCAGTCAAAGGCCAAGTGTGCTGCGTCTCCCTGCGTAAAAGAACTGCATATCTCAGGATACCTCTCTGGTGACTCAGCTACAACAATGAGGACAAAATACTGGCACTGTTGACATTAAAACGAAACACTGTAAATAACCTTAGAAAAAAGGTTTTTATCATTTATAAAGCATTCTATATAACAACAGAATTACTGCAAAATTTTATAGAAAATTTTATTTTAAAAGGTATATAGTTCTGGTTTGAAAAATTTATACATCAGAAAAATATAAAAAATAAAAATCTATACATCTTTTAAATGACAATAATGGCATGTTCACGTTATTTTTTAAAGCACTGATGGGACAGAGTAGCAAGGAATACAACAGTTCATACGCCACGTTGAGAAACTTGCACAAAAATTGAAGATGCAAACCAAGTGTGTTGTATTAAATTTTATTATTGTATTACCCTAGCACTTTATATGTTATTATTTTTAGAATTCAATAGAAAGAGAACTGTTAACTACATGAAACTACTTGAAATAAAATAAATGCCTAAATGATGTCTATGTTTCACAATGCCCTTCAGAGTTCCTGTCCTCTTCAGAGGGCGGCCCCCGTCCTCTATTTCTTTGATTTCCAAATATCCTAACTGTGCTTGATTCATTTCCTTTTCTTCCTTTTCCTCATGTTACGTAATTTTTATTCCAACTTCCTCCAAATACATATATAATTTAATGTCCAACCCATCTTCTGTGTCTTCAGCAAATTTATATTCGTGCAGCAGATTTTAAGAATATTCAGGTAACAGACCGAACAAGTGGTAACACTTTTGTGGCCATTATTCTACGTTGAACTAATTTGAGAAACATGAGGATAATTTTCTAACTAGTATAGAAATGTTCAGTGTGTTGGCTAATGTGCAACAGAGACAGTGTTTAGCTTGATAATCATGAGCCGGGAGGAGAGTTGTGGTGGAGCTATTAACTTTTTTCTCATTCTTTACTATTTATAAGACTCTCATTAGGAGCAAAAGTTTTGCCTTTTGCTTTTGGAGTATGTGCTGTTCCTAATGGGCAAGTCGTTGTAAATGTATTTTGAAACACAGACAATTAGAAAAAAGGGGTTTTAAGCGCCATTCTTCTGTCTGCATTATGTTCCAGTGCTAATATCCATTCAGATTTCAGCTGGGATCACAATAAACTCGAGACTCATCTCTCTGTAGCAGGAGGCTGGGGCTGAGCTAGCTGCTGCAGCGCCTGCTCTCCAGATCTCTGCCCCTGTGTGGGCAGCCGCCGTGAGGAACACACCGGTGCAGCGCTTGAAGTGAATCCCTTTATTTATTTTTCTAGCTAATTATCTGTTGTGCTTCACACACTTTTTAGTCTGTGTTGTATTAACAGAATTAATTTTTCTCATTGCAATAATTTTGTATCAAATTAAAATTGACTACTATTGTGTGATAGAGAATAAAAGAGAAAAAGCTAAATAATACCTCCTTCTCAGAGGAGATTATTAGTAATATCGGGGTAAAATTCATAAAGCAAGTAAATAGGTATATTAAAAATGAATTTTTAAAATGCATTTAGTACGGGTTCTACAGGGTCGCACTACACAGGTTGGACTGTAGTGATCCTCCTGTTTTCAGCCTCCCAAGTGCTGGGATTACAGGCACACACCACCACGCCTAGTCTTAGGGCGCCCTGGGGGCAAGGCCGGCGTGGCCTGCAGGGGATCACAACCTGGCCACTTTGCTCTGCCTCAGCAGGCGCTTTAGTCCACTGAGCTCTCTGGTGAGCCCAAGAACAGAATATTTTAAGAGACTAAAAAAATTCCCTTGTAGAAGGATAAAGGGTCAATAGAGAGCAGATTTAAGGAATGCATTGGGGTAGGGATGGTCCCGATCGGAGCCTTGATCGCGGATGAGGGGAACCAGCACCTCGTCGCCTTTGCCAAGACAGCTAGATGAGAGGAGAGGGAAGCTGTTGGGTGTGGATGAGACTGCAGCAATCTGTAAGAGGGATGTGTGTGTTGACAGGTATCTATCTGTGCTGAACCTTATCATCTTTATGAAATTAAGAAGGAATCTATTTGCAAAAAGTTGACATGATGTGGACCATTTGTCTACAATCATGAGCTAAAGTATAAGATTTGAGGATTAAGGGCTGACCAGTTAGCTCAGCAGACTGAAGTGCCTGCTTAGACAGATGCAGGGGCCTGAGTTCAATTGCCATCATCCCACGCGGGCCCTTCTCCCAGGGCGCACTGAGACAGCGATTGCCACTGGGCATGGTGGTGTGTGCCTGTAATCCCAGTGCTTGGGGGGCTGAAAACAGGAAGATCATTACATGTCTGATCTACATAGTGAGACATGTAGACCCCGCACTAAAATACATGAAAAGAAAAGATTTGAGGACCATGAAGAGATCTTACTTCCTTTTTTTTTCTGGTTTTTAAACTGATTTTGTCTGTAAAACAAGACAAAATGATGTGTGTTTGCGGGCATATTTAACTTCATTCTGCTTGCATACACACAGTTGGCATTTCCAAAAAAAAAAAAAAAAAAAAAAAAAACTGTTTCAGTCTGGCGAACCGTAGTGATGATACGCTGAAATAATATGGACAATCAGTTCAAATTATCTTTCATTACTTTGTCCTGAATTATCTTAATACAGTATAGGCTTTTAAAATCTGAATTGAGCTACTTGTGCATTCATATAAATTTTAGATCCTTCAGATTATCAAAATTTTGAAGTTATTTCACTCCTGTATGTTTTACATTGCAAATAATTGCAATTTGGCAAGTAAATTGTATAATTGGGTGTCTTTTAGCCTTCAGTAATTACAGACTGTGATGGCAGGAATGGATTTTATAGTTTGTAAAAGCTTGTTTCTTCTTTAATGTCTAACGCAGTTCACCTTAGTCAGCAAGGCATAAAAGCATATGTCTTTAAAGATCAAGATCAGCACTGCTGTATGGATCTGCTAGCAGGAACTTTTGCACCCTCCTGCCCCTATCATTCCTTCATCAAAATTTGCCAAGTGGAATTCACTCATGCATGAAGTGGCACATTGCAAATTCACTTTGATAACTTCTATCCATTGTTTAATGGAGCCTGACCGGGTGGAAAAGTGAGAAAAAGATAAGGATGAACACAAGTTGACATGCTCCTTCCTTTGACGTGCACCCTGTAACTAGCTGATGTTTCTCTTCAGCAGCCTCTTGCAAAATCTCCTTTTAGGATTCCAAGATAAAGTCACACTCTGTAACTGTCTTAACTTTTTTTTTTAAATTCAAGGATCTAATCCTATTTGCTCTCACCATTGCTAGCAAGTACCATTTGTCACTCTCCTTCTATCGGCTTTAATTCAACTGTTTCTACAATGATTGTCAATTTTATCCAGGCAAAGGGTAAGCCTGTCCTTCAGGCCAACATCGAGTGTAGAACACGGGTTGCCTACCGTAAGAGGATGCATCGCACTCCTCCTTGGGACCTAGGATGTCTCACACCCTTGAAGCTTCGGTTTTCTCTTTGTCAGTGCTTCATGAGGTGATTATAAAGGAGATAAAGTGTGGTGAAAATGGCTCACCAAGCCCTTGCCTACAGACGTGCTATTCACTGCACCCAGAAGCTGGACAGGGCAGAATGCTGTGTGCGCATTTCTTCGCATGCATAGGCGCTGCTCTTTCTTGCGGACCTCCTTCCCTTTCTCCTCTCTAACAGAAAGCTGTGTTTTTAATCCTTCAGCATTCAAGTTAAAAATTATTAAGTACCTATAGCCTTTCCATAGACTTCCTTCACAAATCTTCTTGAACTAACTTTGTTTTATATATTGTAGCACTAATACGCTGATTCTAATAAGGTATAAAATCTAAACATCAGATTTCATGGATTCAAACACCTCCTTGGGGCCCTTTATTCGTGTCTAAGATTCTGGTATCTGAAGCGCTGTTTTACTTTTCTAAGCACTACAGAAAAAGAGCCCGAGATTCACTGATATGACTCAGTCTCATTCTAATGAGCTTTGTCAGAGCACTGCTACCGAGCCACTTTCATCTCACTCTTTGTAATCATATCTGTTTGCATGATTCCGAGGTGGGTAGACCTATCTTCTGACATCATATGGAATGCTGATCATTTTCAGCACAAACATTCCTGCAATAAAAGAGTGCACTGCTTAGAAACTAGGGCTCTCCAGAACATCCTGATGAGTTTTGTCTACACGCCCATGGCCCTTGGTAGTCATTCATACATGTAGATTCATTTAATTATTCACATATAACAGCCATGTGAATACATACAAATAGCCATATTTGTGACCATGTAAATACTTGTATAATGTAATATATAACCCTTATGC